AGGCCCAGGCTGGATTCGAACCCACCAGCTCTGGTGTATATGGCTGGCGGCTTCAGATGCTTGAGCTACAGGCACGGAGCTGAGGCCGTGTAATTTTACGTCAATGTTCTTCTACAATCAAAATTCACAGGACCTCAAAATGAAGTTCAACAGGTACAGATAAAGTGATAAGATTGTAAGTCCACTCCAAGAAATAGGATAGTAAGTATATAAAACACCTTTCATCACAGTGCTATATTAAAGGCCTACAGAACTGTAGAGTGAAATATGCATACATGCAGTTCTAGTCTAAAATTGATCAGTCCTCCAGTAGAAAGGCAAATAAAAGTTTTGGGACAGCACGTATTTTCAATGATTACAAGAGAAAAAAAAATCACCCCAAATATAAAAGATGTATAAAAATAGATTTTTAGGCCAGACATGGTAGCTCATACCAATAATCCCAGCACTCTGGGAGGCCAAGGCAGGAGAGATCTCTTGAAGCCAGGTGATCTAGGTACTTCAGCACTCTAGCCTGGGTGACAAAGCCAGACCCTATTTCTTTAAAAAAAAAAAAAAAAAAATTTTTTTTTTTTTTAATTAGTATTACCTTTCTAACTCAACCAAAACATTACTCTTCACCTTTATTCATAAGGGAAACTGAAAAGTAACTAAAAGGATTTTTTTACAACTTGGAAGGCTTTTTAAAAAATATATAATAAAATTTTCTTCTTTCCCTCAATTGAAATAATACTGATTCATCAGACCCGACCCACAAAATTCACAACTCTCAATTTAGGGGACTCCAGAACTCAAGGGTCTTGGCCACTTAGAGTGGCTCACACCTGTAATACTAGCACTCTGGGAAGCTGAGGTGGAAGGACTGCTTGAGGCCAGGAATTTGAGGTCAGCCTGAGCAAGAGTGAACCCTTCTCTCTACAAAAAAAAATTTAGAAAAGTTAGCAAGGCAGTGGCACTATGCCTGTAGTCCCATCTGCTTATGAGGCTGAGGCAGGAGCATGTGCTAGAGCCCAGGTATTTGAAGTAGCAGTGAGTTATGATAATACCTCTCTGCATTCTAGTAGTCCAGACAGCAGAGTGAGAGGCTATCTCAAAAAATAAATAAATAAATAAAAATTACAGTAATAATAATAATGTTTTTTCCCTATAGATGCAAAATTCTTCAAATACTTTCAGTTATTGTTTTATTGTTGTTTATAATTGGTTTATGGATTTAAAAATACAGGAATTATTTCTCAAAAGATGATACCTTAAATATTTGACAATTCTAAGTTACCAAAAATCATCCACCCGAATAAAGATACCATTTAATAGATTCCAGCAAGAAAAGCTGAAGACTTGGAACAGCAATTTAGTTTACATTAAATTGCTTAGAAGAAACCAAAAACATGAATGTTCCACTTTTCTGCCCATTTGTTCAAACATAGGGAGCATTTCCAAATCTTAACAACTTATCACTTTCTAAAGGAGGACTGTTTTATATTCTTTTAAAAGTATTAATAAGAATCAAAGCATGCAGAAATAAAGAATGAAATAAAGAACACATTTTAAGTTAAGGGTGAAGAATCCATTAGCTCCAAGACATGTCAGCTCTAGATTCAGTTCCATGCCCTTGTCGACATACACTAGGCTCCTTAAGTGTTAAGGATCACTGCTTTCCTCCATTTCAGCAAGGGAGGTCTCAGCACAACCACATGAAGGAAGAACACAGCTCCAAATTTTTCATTTTTCTTAAAATTCAATAAATTCAATACTCTCTTTCTAAAAGATGCAAAGAAACTTAGTAGTGACTAACAAATCAAATTAAGCAGATTGAAAAATGCACCTACTAAAATGGAAAGATAGGATGCAAACTAATCAGATTCTCATTCCCTGTTAATATAAAAAGTTTATCATTGAAGTCTCAGTACTATTTTTCCTTCTTGCCACTAGGATTGTAGGTAACATAAATGAGATCAAATATATTATAGCTACTTGAGCTGTGTTTCAGTAAGAAACTAAAGAAACGTCTTTAATGGCTTAAATAAAGACTAAAATTTGACACAGAGAAGCTTCGCTCTTTATACTTTTATGTGTGTGCCCACATGTATACATGCACACACACATACGACGTACCACACCACATGCCCACATAAAAGAAAATAAAGAGAAAATGGGAAAACTCCCTCTATCTTATAAACCAATTGCAAGTTATTTGGAACTGAAGTAAAAATATGCCCACCACTGACAGCAAAGCACCTTGCAGTTAGTTAAGCCAAAATAACAGTGAAAAAAATTACATAGTAAAGACTAAAAATAATCACCAACCACTGCTGACCCACCACCATGAAGGAAGAACTGCTTGCATAGAAAGCTGACCAAAACCTTGAGATCACCACAGAAACTCATTAGATTTCAGGTACTAAACAAACTAAGAGCAAGAGAAAAAGAGAAAAATCCTATGAATTATCAAAGTTCATTTCATAAATAGATATAAAACTTGAATATATGACACATACAGTATGATCAAATCAAGTAATCCCCAAGGAGGTCCCCAAGCCACATAAATTTATGTGGGAAAGGATGAACCCAACTTATTAACCCCAATAAGCCACAAAGTATCCATATTTGTGTATTACTATTAATTGAGAAAAAAATCCTGGAAATCTAAATAAATGAAATCTTTCCTGCCATCAGACTACCTCCTAATCTCCAAAATAATAAATAACTCATGCTTTGTTTTGTTAGACTTTAATTATATTTCCGTTTGGGCTTTATCTTCAGTCTTTAATGAAGAAAACATATCCAAAGGCGTAACCTCATGTTGTATGGAGTAACATGTATGGATATGTTTTCTTCTTGGATCTGGGAAAAGGTTTTTATTAACAAGCAAGGAAGTCTTTGTCAACAAGAACCACTCATCACTCCCAGAGCATGCTAATCAAAATAAGAACAACTGTTTAATATTCTCCATTTAGATAAACACACTCCCCTCTTTAATCCACATCCCTTCTTTTCCCCATCCCCATGTGACTGTTCAATAATAATGCTTCTGTTCAGCTCACAAATATGAATAATTTGCTTTCAATCACGTTTAAGATCTCTAAGATTATGGCTTAGAATTTTGGATCCAATTAAGCAAGCATTATTTTATTTGGGTTTAAAGAATTAACAAACCATTTTCTGTCATGCTGGTCTGTTCCAGAATTCTGTGGAAGATTCTCTATTTCCACCAGCACGGGACCAGAAGCTACAGAAGGAATCACAGGCAGAGTAGATCTCACACCCCAAGCCTTTGGACAAAAATTGTAAAAATCATCTATGTTGCTTAAATAAAAGATCGCTTCACCAACAAACAGAATACTAAAATGAAATACTGTCTACCTAGTGAACAAATGCAGATGTTTCAGTTTTATATAGTACCTTATAGATAATAATTTAAGGAAATATTAATATTTTATTCATTTTCCTGGATTTATAGGGACAGAAAATATTTTCTAGAGCACCTGTTTCAGTTAAATATCATTTAATACTTAAGGATTAAGGGAAAGAAAATGTACAAAACTTGTATATGATTACACCATTATGAAAATCCAATTAATAATACTACCATTTAGTGCAAAAGAAATACCTACTACTATTAACATAATTTACTAGTGTTTTAAAAGCTTAATACTGACTTACCTGTTGAGAGCCATTACTCTGGGTTGAGACATTAGTGTGAATACTGTAATGGGGAAAAAAATGTGTTAAGCTGTATATGAAATTCTAGGGCTTCACTTTGTAAGATTATATACACACAATGAAATCAGATTTATTTTAAAAACATGAATATTTCATTTCAAAAAAATTAATCTACTGTTGGTACCTTAATGTCAGATGCCCAGAATATATTTGTTCTTAATAGGCAAACAGTTGCTTTACTATAGTCTGTTCACACGATGTTTCTATATACATATATTTTCCTTGTACTTTAGAGGAATACTTCACTACTAATCTTGTTTATTCATGAGACAGTATCTGTCAAAGATGGCTACACAAAGACAGCAGAACAAATACCCACATAAATTTATCTAATCCATCACTTCTTTTATATATTCCTACCTTCTCAAGATTTTCCAGTATTAACAGTTTAGCATTGTATAAACTCAAAAGGCTTTAGAAAGTTAGAAACTTCTGTGTATATCTTCAAACAACTTATGTTTTTAGATTTTTAGGGTTTTTTTTTTTTTTTTAAGACAGTCTCACTATGTCACCCTCGGTAGAGTGATGTGGCGTCACGGCTCACAGCAACCTCAAACTCTTGAGCTTAAGCAATTCTCTTGCCTTAGTCTCCCAAGTAGCTAGGACTACGGGGACCTGCCACAATGCCCAGCTATTTTTTTGTTATAGCTGTCATTGTTGTTTAGCAGGCCGGGGCTGGGCTTGAACCTGCGCCTAGGTGTATGTGGCCTGTGCCCTATTCACTGAGCTACGGGTGCCGCGCCTAGATTTTTAATTTTGGTTGTACCAATGAGTACAACCGACCTAAACAAACAAACAAACAAAAAACACTTTAAAAAACTTCTTTGAAGAATTTAATGGATTTAAATGATAGCATTATGGATTTAATGACAGAAAATAGGATAAGAAATTAAGAAAGAATTTAATTAAGAAAATAGAGAATTAAATACACTCAATTTCTTATTGTTAGCCACTAACATTCAAGAATAAAGACAGACTACTTCAGGTATGGCAAGAAGATTTAAAATTAGCAAGTCACTGCCAATGTCAAGTTGGCACAGACTTGTTCAAAGCAATACTCAAGAATATTATGTTATACCCAGCCAATATGTCATTCTAGAAAAAGGATGTAGGCAAAGGTTCTCAAACACAAACTCTGAATACAGCTTCCAGAAGCCTTTAGGGGAGGAAGGAAGGGTGATTGAGAACAGAACACAAGCCACCTGATGATGAAAAACAACCAATTAAAAAAAACCTTAACTTCCAAAAAAGAAAAGCTCTGGTCTAGAGGGTTTCACATCCAAATTCTACCAAACCTTGAGGAATTAGTACCTATACTGCATAACCTATTCCAAAATAGAGAAGGAAGGAATTTTCCCCAACATATTCTACGAAGCAAACGTCACCCTGATTCAAAAAATGAGGAAACGACCCAACAGAAAAAGAATACTACATTAATGAATACTGATGCAAAAATATTCAGTAAGATTCTAGCATGCAGAATGCAGTTACATTTTAACAAAATTACACATTATGATCAAGTGGGTTTTATCCCAGGGATGCAAGGTTGGTTCAACATACGTAAATCCATAAATGTAGATGTAAATCCATTGCCAAGGCAACTGTAAAGAAACCGTCAGGCACAATTTCTTTTTAATAACCACATTTATCTTCTCAGGATAAATTATACATGTTTAAGTAACCAATCATCTTAAAACTTAATGGAATTGCATCCTGCCTGCTTGGTACAGAAGTTAGACACACTAATCCGTGGTCTCTTAGTTATTCTCTAAAGCTTTTCCTTCCTTTAATTGGGATAACTTCAGTAGGTAATAAGTGAAAACATGACTAAGAGTAACGTGAAGAAAAGTGGTTGTAGCAAGTGACTTAATTAAATCATAGTTTGCTTTCAAATGATTTGAAAGAGAAAGCATTATTTTCTGATAATTATATTCTTTTTCACAAATTTGAAAGGAATGCTGAATTACTTCTCATTACTAACCTAGTCCAAACTACCTCCTTTAAAGAACTACATGCAGGTTCGGCCGCTGTGGCTCAAGCAGCTAAGGCGCCAGCCACATACACCAGAGCTGG